GCTTTTAACTCACTGCACCACAGGGCTGGCCCCTAAAATTGGCAACTTCTTAACATAACCTGGCAGACTAGACTCTTGTGATACATTGGAACATAAAGGGGAATATCATTCCTGTTTTTATTAAGCTTAAGTTCTAGTTGACCTAGATCAACAGTACACACAAAATTGTAAGTTAAATGGTCATGTTTTGGAAGGAAGGGCTTTCTTAGAGTTTTTTGTTGTATAGTATGGCCAGGGAAGGCTTTATCGTACAAAGAATATTTTAGTAGAGATTAGAAAATGTAAACAAACAAGCCTTGGAAATACATACAAGAAAATTGTTTTAGGCAAATAAAAAGTAATTTAAAAGGCAATAGAATATAAATGTGGCTTGAGTGTGTAAAACAATGCAGCTGCAGGAGTAAGAAAGGGTTGGGCACTGTAGATGAGGTCTAAGGGGCAGCAAGGGCCACATTCTATACGGGCATATAGGTTGCTGTAAGACTTGTAGATTTTACTTTAAGTGATATGAAAAGGGTTCAGAATTTTGCACATAAAGAATAAGGTGACATTAGTTTTCTTTTAGCAGGAATATTTGGAATATTGTTTTGAGATTACTATGTAGGAAGGCAACCACATCCAGTTAGAAGGATGCTGAAAAATCGAATGAATACCAGGAGCTATAGGGTGGTAACAATACATGTGGTAGTTATTGTATTTTAGATGTAGTACAAAAGTCAAGATAACAAAGTAGACTGAAACTGTACATGGAAAGTGAGAAAATTCCAGTGCTCTAGAATAGGCAACTAGAATTTGAAGTTGATTTTTTTTTTAATGAGATGTGAAGTTTCAGGGGGAAAGGCAGGCTTAAGGCAATGGTGGGAGCTGCCAGAGGGGAGTGAAAAATTGGGCTTTCAATTTTTATGTTAATGTTGAGATAGATCTTTGTTAGAAACTGAAGGGGAGGTCTGGAATGTATGGTTCTGGAACCCAAGGAAGTAGAATAGCCCGTGAAAACGTGGTTGCAAGGACATTGAGAAGTGTTTGATGTATCTGACGTGAGCTGTGGTGGTTGCTATCGTGAGTGTTTCATACATCTAAACTCATTAAATTGTGCATATAAAATATGTGGCGTTCTGTATCAGTTAACCTGAGGAAGAGCTGTGTAAAATGGAAATAGACGTTTGAAGATGGTCAATCTTTCCTAAGCATCCAATGTGACTGTATTCTATACAAAAGTACTTCACAACGTTTGTGCAATTGGATTTAAAAATTGAGTTTAGAGGCATGTTTTTTTTTTGACACAGCAGGTTAAGTGGCTGCTTATGATGCCAGCATCCAATGTAAGAGTGACAGAGCCCTGGGAACACCACTTCCCATCCAGTTTACTAATGTGCCTTGGAAAGCGACAACTGTAGCTCAAGTACTTGAGCCTCTGCTACCCTTGTGGGAGACATGGATAGAGTTCATGGATCTTGGCCTCAGCCTGGATCAGCTCTGTCTGTTGGTTGCCATTTGGGAAGTGAATCAGAGGATAGAAGATCTCTCTACCTCTGTCTCTGACACTCTGCTTTTCATATAAATAAAGAAAGCTTGGTAAAAAGAGTCGATTTTGATGCTAAAAGTTTTGAAATCAATGTGAAATTTTGAAGATAAGGGGTCTTCAAAAAGCCCATAGGGAATGTAAATTATGATTAAAAAAAATACTGCATGGGCTTCAAAATATTTTTGCACCAAAATGGACTTATTCCATGTGTCCACAGACTTTCAAATACCTCCACAGAATTTTAAGACTGTCTTATTTTTCATCACATAATAGAAATGCTACAGTATTTTTCCTAGAAAATGTTGGTTGCATTCAGAACACTTATTTTCAAATTCTCTTCATTTTGCTTCTTTTACTAATTTTAATTGAGGGAACAGAATTAAGTCTAATTTAGATGAGCCCAGGACAATTTGTGCACAATAATTTAGGAAGATCATTTGGGTTCTGCAGGCCACATTAAGAAATATGTTTACACATCAATGAAAGGGTTATGTTGGACAAGTTTGCTTCAATCAATGCCATTTGTTCTCAGATGTTCATAAATATAAACAAACAGGCTGAGTCCTCTTCCATTTGACTCTTTGTTTTTCAAGTATAAATTTAGTAATTTGTTCAGTTGATCTTTTCCCAAAGGGGAGAACTTACAGAGGGTGGCTGGCAGCACACGTTGCCAATACTCCTGTTTGTCTTAGTGAAATTTGCTGCAAGCTCTGTTCCTGTCTCTAGCAACTTGCTACTTCTTATTCAGCACTTTTAAATAAAACCACTTCTGCTCCAATTCATTAGTCCTTAGAATTTTATATTTTAAAATATTTACGTATTTGAAAGGTAGAGTGGCCACAATGGCTAGCGCTGGGCCAAGGCTAACCAGGAGCCAGGGACTATATCCAGGTGTTCCTCACCCATATCAGTGGCCCAAGTCCTCTAGCTTCCACTGCTTTCCCAGGTGCATTAGCAGGGAGCTTGATTGTAAGCAGAGCAGCCAGGGCCTGAACCAGCCCTCTGAATGGGATGTCAGCATTGCATGTGGCAGCCTTTCCCAATGTGCTGCAGCATCAGCCCCAAGTTCTTAAAATTTGATAGTATTCCTCTAAGGCCTGAGTTGTAGCACAGCAGGGTGGGCCACTGCCTCGGACCCCTGCATCCCATTTGAGTGCTAGATCAAGTCTCAGCTTCTCCACTTTCAATCTAGCTCCCTACTAATTCACCTGGGAAAGCAGTGGGAGATAACCTGAGTACAAAGGCTCCTACCACCCTTGTAGGACAGGATGGAGTTTCAGGCTGCTATCTTCAGTCTGGTCCATTGCGGCCATTTGGGGAGTGAACCAGTGGATGTAAGATTACTCTAACTCTGCATTTCAAATTAATAAAACACGTTTTATAGCGTACTGTATGTGTATACTACACAGTCCCTCACACTGCAAAGACACTAGTTTCTATGACCTGGAAAATAATCAAGATTCCTCTGGCAACATATACTACTTTACAAATGTATCAAATTCTTAAGGAGTATTTTGGAAGTGGTGAAGGGAAATCTAACTTTAGAGTGAGGAACTGCAAGATTATGAAAGAATCTTTAGTCACAAATGGAAAAATAAAATCTTATATAAAATGTGACCATGTGCCCTAAGTACAATGAGTGAATAAAGGGGAGTTTCTGAATAGGGGAAAAAAGGGAGAATGGCAATCAGGGAAGAGAAAACATAACTTGGAATTTTCAAAAAAAAGTTACATAAAGCAGCTAAACTGAACAAAAAGCTCAAAATTTAGATGTTTCATAGACTCGACAGTGAAAATGTAGATTTTTAAGAGGAAACATCAAAGTTTCATGGAAATTTGTGTTTTTTAATTTTATTTCACCATGAGCTTTTAGATACACCTTAAATTTGTAAAAGTAGAAGCAATTAATATTTTATACATTTTACAGATATTTACTTCATTTAATTCTGTTCTGTTATTCTGAGAGGGGCAGGTTTATGATTATGATTTGTTAAATGAAGATGAGGAAACAAGTTGAGAATGGACAATTAGTACCCAACATGCAATAGTCAGCAAAAAGCATAATCTGAACTGTAAAAGATTCTTAGATACTAAGCATATTGTTATCACTTTGGGTTTTGAACTGAATTTTTTTTCCAATTCTACTGTGGATCCCAGAAGCTCATTTATCATTTGGATGTTTTCACTCAAAGAAAACTACCAAAACCAAAAACTAAGCTTTGTAAAATACTGCTATTACTTTTGAAAAAGTATTTAGTAAAGGCTAATTCTTAAACTTATCTAATGAAGAGAACAGATTTCATGTATTTCATATATGCAGTTTTAAGAGCATAATGACACTTCCTACTTTTACTCCCTCCCTTATATCTTTGATCCTCCTGCCTTAATTTTTTTTTTTAATTTTGGAGATAACATACTTTGAATTTACTTGAATCACAAACTTAATCCTCTGCTAAGCAAAGAATTCAACAAGTAGAAAGTAGAAAGACCACCATTCCTTAGGCATATAGACAAGGGTTACAAACAATAATCAAATCTCAAAAGTCTATTTCACTCAAATTAGCTACCACAAATCAGAAAACATATTTGTCTCTTGGGGATTGGCTTAGTAAGTTTAATGGTCTCCAACTGCATCCATTTTGTTTTGAACAAAAAAATTCATTCTGTTTTTATGATTAAATAGTACTTGTGTGTGTGTGTGTGTGTGACATTTCCTTTATTCAGTCATCAGTTGACAAATACCTGGGTTGAGTCTATATCTTGGGTTTTGTGGATTGAGCTTCTATAAACATAAAAGTACAGATAAATCCTTCATATGCTGATAACATATATTTTGAGTAAATTCCCAGAGATGGGATGGTTGGGTCATATGGTTGATCAACATTCAAATTTTTAAGGAATCAACTTACTGTCTTCCATAATGATTGTGGCTAGTTTACAGTCCCAATAGTGTATTAGGATGTTTATCCTCCACTCCTCATGAGCATTCATTGTTGGATTTTTTTGATAGCCATTCTAACAGGGGTGAAGTGATACTACGTTGTGGTTATTTGCAGTTCCCTTAATGGAGTCTTTTGGTTCCCCCTAAGTATGGGATCATGTCATCTGCAAACAGGAATTATTTAACCTCCTACTTTGCAATTTTTATCTCTGATTTGTTTTTCTTGCCTATTGGCTCTGGCTAAAATATTCAAGAAAATATTGAATAGCAATAGTGCATGTGGGCATCCCTGTCTTGTCCCTAATCTTAGTGAAAATGCTTCCAACTTCTGCCTATTCAATAAAATTCTAGCTGTGGGTTTGTCATACATTACCTTGACTGTGTTGAAATGTTCCTTGTATATCCCATTTGCTTAAGGTTTTTAATATGAAAGGAAGTTGTATTTTATCAGATGCTTTCTCTGCATCTATTGAGCTAATCAGATCATTTTTATTCAGATTGTTAATGTGACATATCACATTTGTTGAATTGCAGATGTTGAACCATTCCTGCATTCCCGGAATGAATCCACTTGTCCAGGGTGAGTGATCTTTCTGTTATTGGGTTCAATTAGTATTTTGTTGAGGATTTTTATACCTTTATCAGTGACTGTGTTCTATAGTTTTCTTTCATTGTTGTATCTTTTTCTGGTTGAAGAATTAGGGTGATTATGACCTCAAAGATATAATTTGGAAGGATTCCCTCCCATTCAGTTGTTTTGTGAAGTCCAGTACAATTCAGTGGTGAAGCCATTCAGTCCTGGGCTTTTTGTTGTTGTTGTTGTTGTTGTTGCAAGGGCCTTTATCACTGATTCAATCTTCTTCCTAGTTATAGGTCTATTTAGATTTTCTATGTCTTCATGACTCAATTTGGGTAGACTGCATATGTCCAGAAATTATCCATTTATTCTAGATTTTCCAATTTTTTGACAAATAGCTGTAGTAATTTGTGATGATTCTTTTTATTTCTATGGTACCCATTGTAACATATCCTTTTTCATCTCTAATACTATAAATTTGGGTCTTCTCCTTCCTTTTGTTTTTAGTCAGTTAGGCCAATGGAATACCAATTTTATTATTAAAAACAGCTCTTAATTTCACTGGTTTGTGTTTTTTATTTCATTCTATTCTCTAATTTTTGTTTCTTCTAATTTGGGGCTGGCTTGTTCTTTTCTAGGTTCTTGAGAAGCATTGTTAGAGCATTTATTTAATGGGTTTCCAGTTTAATTCCTTGTGGTCAGAAAAGATATATGGTATCATTTCATTTTTTAAAAATATTTTGTTGACTTATTTTATAGTCTAGCATATGGTCTATCCTATTAAGTCCCATGCAGTTATGAAAAAAATATATGTATTCTCAGTTGTGGCATAACACATTCTGGAGATATTAATTAAATGCATATTGTTAATAGTGCAGATTAGCTCTGTATTTTTATTCATTGATTTGTTTTGTCTAGTTCTGTCCATTGATGAAAGTGGGATATTGCCATCCTCGATTATCATTGTATTGGAATACACGTGTCCCTTCAAAGCCATTGACATTTGTTTTAAATATTCAGGTGCCTTACCATTGGGTACCTATATATTTGCTATAGTCACACCTTTCTGTTGAATCGATCCCTTAATCACTACATAATACCCTTATTTGTCTCTTAACAGTTTTTGTGTTAAAGTCTATCTTGTTTCATATTAGGTAGGCTATTCCTGTTCATTTTTCATTTCTGTTCACATGAATATCTTTTGCCATCCTTTCATTTTCAGTCTGTATCTTTGTTCGTGCTATGCTATTGTCAGCAACATATAGATGGGTCTTCTTTTTCAGTCCATTCAGCTAGTTTGTATCTTTCAATTGGATAATCTAGGTCATTTACATTCAAGGTTATTATTGAAATTGATTTGCCATTTTTCTATGTTTTGGATCTCCTTTGTCCTTTTGAGGTTTTCTGCCTTCATATTCTTTTCCAATGCTGATTATCATTCTCTATTTCTGTGTGATCCTTAAGTATCATTTTTATGGCTGGCCATTTGGTTACAAATTCTTTCAATATATCTACTTTGGAAGGTTTTCATTTCACCTTCATTTATGAATGAGAGCTTTGCTGAGTATAGTATTCTGGATTGACAGCTCTGATTTGCTTTTAGGGATTGAGCTGTATTCTCTCCTAGCTTTTAGAATTTCTGATGAGAATGAGCTGTCATTCTAATTGGAGATCCATTGAAGGTAATTTGGCATTTGTTACACATTTTAGGACATTTTATATTTTAGTTTTGAACATTTGCTATAATATATTGTGGTGAATATGTTCTCTAATCATCTATTTTGGGTTCTATTTGCATTCTGTTCTTGGATACCCAAATGTTTGTCCAAATAATGGGAATTTTCAGATTATTTCACTGCATAAGTCTTCAAAATCATTTTCTTTCCCTAACTTCAGGAACTCCTAAGATATTTGCTCATTTGATGATAGTGCATAAATCTCAAACTGTTTCAGTTTTCCCACATTTCTCTTTTTTTCTGAGATTTCTTTTATTAAAAAAAATTTATTTGAAAGTTGAGAAAGAGAAAGAACAAACTTCCATTCTGCTGGTTCATTTCCCAAATGGCCACAATGGCCAGGATAGAGTCAGGCTGAAGCCAGGAGCTTCTTCCAGGTCTCATACATGGGTGCAGGGGCTGAAGCACTTGGTACATCCTCCACTGCTTTCCTACGCATATTAGTAGGTTGTTGGATGGCAAGTAGAGCAGCCAAGACTCAAACCACAGTACCCATATGGGGTGCTGAGATCACATGAGGCATCTTAACCAGCTATGTCACAGTGCTGGCCCCAGTATATTTCTAAAAATTTATCTTCTAGATTGGATATTTCTTTTTTTAACTTTTATTTAATAAATATAAATTTCCAAAGTACAGCTTTTGGATTACAGTGGCTTTTTCCCCACACTTTCTTCCCACATGTAACTCTCCTATCTCCCGCTCCCTCTCCCATTCCATTCACATCAAGATTCATTTTCAATTCTCTTTATATACATAAGATCAATTTAGTATATACTAAAGTAAACATTTAAACGCGGAAAAACAAAGTGTAAAGTACTGTTTGAGTACTAGTTATAGCATTTATTCACATAATAAAACACATTAAGGACAGAGATCCTACATGAGGAGTAAGTGTACAGTGACTCCTGTTGTTGACTTAACAAATTGACACTCTTGTTTATGGCTTCAGCAATCACCCTAGGCTCTTGTCATGAGTTGCCAAGGCTATGGAAGCCTCTTGAGTTCGCCAACTTTGACCTTATTTAGACAAGCTCATAGTCAAAGTGGAAGTTCTCTCCTCCCTTCAGAGAAAGGTACCTCCTACTTTGATGGCCCATTCTTTCCACTGGGATCTCACTTGCAAAGATCTTTCATTTAGGTTTTGTTTTTGTTTTGCCAGAGTATCTTGGCTTTCCATGCCTAAAATACTCTCATGGGCTCTTTAGCCAGATCTGAATGCCTTAAGGGCTGATTCTGAGGCCAGAGTGCTGTTTAGGACATCTGCCCTTCTATGAGTCTGCTGTGTATCCCGCTTCCCATGTTGGATCGTTCTTTCCTTTTTAATTCTATCAGTTAATATTAGCAGACACTGGTCTTGTTTATGTGATCCCTTTGACTCTTAGACCTATCAGTATGATCAATTTTGAACTGAAATTGATCACTGGGACTAGTGAGATGGCATTGGTACATGCCACCTTGATGGGATTGAATTGGAATCCCCTGGCACATTTCTAGCTCTACCATTAGAGGTAAATCCATTGTGAGCATGAGCCAAACTGCACATCTCTTCCCTCTCTTATTCCCACTCTTATATTAAACAGGGATCACTTTTCAGTTAAATTTAAACACCTAAGAATAATTGTGCATTTAATTAAGAATTCAACCAATAGTATTAAGTAGAAAAAAAAATTACTAAAAGGGATAGAGTATAGAAACTGGAATATAACCCTACCAGACAACCCAGCCATCCCACTTGGAATTTACCCACAGGAAATTAAATTGAAAAATATTAGAGCTGTCTGCACCTTATTGTTTTTTGCAGCTCAATTCACAATAGCTAAGATCTGGAATCAGCCTCAATGCCCATCAACAGTAGACTGGATGAAGAAATTATGGGCTATGTACTCTATAGAATATACAGCAGTAAAAAAAATGAAATCCAGGCTGGTGCCACAGCTCATTAGGCTAATCCTCCACCTGCGGCACAGGCACCCCGGGTTCTAGTCCCGGTCAAGGCGCCAGATTCTGTCCCGATTGCTCCTCTTCCTGTCCAGCTCTCTGCTGTGGCCTGGGAGGACAGTAGAGGATGGCCCAGGTCCTTGGGCCCTGCACCCGCACGGGAGACCAGGAGAAGCACCTGGCTCCTGACTTCGGATCAGCGTGGTGTGCCGGTTGCAGCGAGCCGGCCACAGCATCCATTGGGGGTGAACCAATGGAAAAGGAAGACCTCTGTCTCTCTCTTTCTCACTGTGTAACTCTGCCTGTCAAAAATAAATAAATACATAATAAAAAAATGAAATCTGTCATTTGTAACAAAATGGAGGAATCTGAAAAACAATATGCTGAATGAAATAAGCCAGTCCAGTTCCAAAGGGACAAATATCATATATTCTCCCTGATTGGTGACAACTGAGCACTAAAAAAGAAACCTGTTGAAGTGAAATGGATGCTATGAGAAACAATGACTTGATCAGCCCTTGTTCTGACTGTTGAGGATATTTGTTCTGACCAACCAAGTTTTTTGTTTAAGCTTTCTATAGTATTTTTATTTCACATATTGAATTCTTCATTTCTAATACTTCAGTTAGACTTTTCTTCACTATTTTTACTTCCTAGCAGAATTTCTCATGTCTGTCATGTATAAATTTTTTAACTCTTGTGTTTCTTGTTTGTTTGTGAGTAATCTCATTCTTTTGAGTTCCATTTCAAACATTTCATTAATCTCTTCATCTTCACATTCTAATATTGAAGTGTTGTGTTCCTTTTGGGGAGTCATATTGTCTTCCTGTTCATGTTTCTTGTATTTTTATGTTTCTTTTTCCAAAACTGTGGACACACTTGTTGGTTTTCTCTTTTGCAGCCTTTGTTCTTTGAAATAGCCACTATAGATTAATGAAATTCCTGCTTCTTCAGTGGATTTCCAGCAGTGTATGCTGGGTGGGGGCAGGAAGCAATATCCAGTGCTCAAGGATCTGGCAAGAGTCTAAAGTGACATTCATGTTCACAACCCCAGTCCCTCTCTGCCAAGGTGATCCACCTGCCCAGGGTGAATCCACAGTGCCTGTGTACAGGTGTACAAACTACACAAAGGGTCTATGTGTTCCTTAGTGTGAACACTGTGCCCTGTGTGATGATTCTCCCCAGCACTGAGGGGAGTCTGAGCTTCTTGAGTGAGACCTAGTGATTGTCCAAAGCACTAGAAACAACACACACCATATTGCATAGTCACAGGGCTCCCAAAGTCATAGGGAACGGTAGATCCACTCCCTTATGAACATCTCCATCAAAGGAGAGTGCTACTTCATTCATGAGCCAGCTGCCAGAGATTGCTCAGGTTCCACCTTGGCAACTTGAAAACATTGCCTTGGTGGGGTGAGAGGAAAGAAATGACATGAGCCCTTACTGGAACTAAGTGGATGCCCTGTTCCTCTCCCAGCTCTCCAGGCCAGACCCAAAGACTGTGGAGAATGCAGATGTACCCCCTCTGACAAAATCCACTATTGGCTCTAGGGCTGCAGCAGCCTCCATACACCTTATTAAGATAGTGCTTTCTCCCTGTTGTTCTCCATCTGCATTTGTTGGGGTAAGGGAGGAAATGTGCTTGCTTTTCCTGGCATTAGGTGGCATCTTGTGTACCCCAGTCAGTGCTTCAGACCAGTCAAGTTCAGTGGGGACTGAGAGGATCTCCCTCAGGCAATAACACCAGTGTAGATACTCCAGTTTTCTCTCACCTGACTCAGGGAAGGTGAGGCCCCCACTTGTTGCCAGCTGTGGGAGTCACTGGCAGCATCCTGCTAGTTGCTGTATGACTGTACAGTCCCTGCTGCTCTATAGTGTCTTTTCTTTCCGTAGACTTTCCATTAAAAACACCTCTCCAACTCTCCCCTGGGAAAATGATCCCTCCCTGTTCTTTTGGTATATTCCTATGTTCAAAGTCAGAATGTCTTTTCTGTACTCAACCATCTTGGATCTCTCCAAGGCTAATTTTTTAAGAGTTCTATATATTTGAAAAGCAGAATGACAGGAAGAGACAAAGTGAGAAAAATCTATTCTCTGGTTTATTCCCCAAATAGCTGCAACAGCCAAGTCTTGGCCAGGTCAAATCCAAGATTTAAGAACTCTGTTTTTGTCTCCACTTGCATGGTTGGTGTCCAAGTAGCTGAATCATTTTCCATTTGTTTCCCAGGCACATCAGAAAGAAGGTGGGTCAGAAGCAAGGGAGCCAGAACTTGGACTCAAACAATCACTATGATTTGGGATGCTGGCATTGCAAGTCTCCAATAAAATGGAACGCTAAAAGGCTAACTTGATTGCTATATTGTTCAATGAATTAATCCTTAAAACCCATTCCAGAATTTTTGTTTTTAGTTGATAAATAAGAGTTTATGTAAGACTGAGATAAAAGACATGTGATTCTCTTAACTGAAAATAGTAGGTGTATTTATTTATTTATTTATTTTACCATCCTTTTTTTTTTAACTTTTATTTAATAAATACAAATTTCCAAAGTACAGCTTATGAATTACAATGGCTTCCCCTCCATAACGTCCCTCCCACCCGCAACCCTCCCCTTTCCCACTCCCTCTCCCCTTCCATTCACATCAAGATTCATTTTCAATTCTCTTTATATACAGAAGATCAGTTTAGCATACATTAAGTAAAGATTTCAACAGTTTGCTCCCACACAGAAACATAAAGTGAAAAATACTGTTTGAGTACTAGTTATAGCATTAAATCTCAATGTACAGCACACTAAGGACAAGGATCCTACATGAGGAATAAGTGCACAGTGACTCCTGTTGTAGACTTAACAAATTGGCACTCTTGTTTATGGCATCAGTAATCACCCTAAGCTCTTGTCATGAGCTGCCAAGGCCATGGAAGCCCCCTGAGTTCACTGACTCTGATCATATTTAGACAAGGCCATGGTCAAAGTGGAAGTTCTCTCCTCCCTTCGGAGAAAGGTACCTCCTTCTTTGATGACCCGTTCTTTCTACTGGGATCTCACTCGCAGAGATCTTTCATTTAGGGTTTTTTCCCCCCAGAGTGTCTTGGCTTTCCATGCCTGAAATAGTCTCATGGGCTTTTCAGCCGGATCCGCATGCCTTAAGGGCTGATTCTGAGGCCAGAGTGCTGTTTAGGACATCTGCTATTCTATGGGTCTGCTGTGACTAGGTGTATTTAAAGTATTTCTCTCCCCCCCCAGCCATATAATCATAATTTGGAAACTGGCAATCTAATTCCAAGTCAAATCATGGTTTAGGGAATTTGGCACTTGAATCATTATCAAAATATTTCCCAGACTGTTTTCTTTTTTTATGGATAAGAAAACGCTTCTTAGATTAAAAGCAAAGTGGTTAGATAAAGCTTAGCATATCTAAGGAATACAGTAGTGATGTGACATGAGTATACCTTGATAAACTTTACTCCAGACACCTGTCCTCTTTTGAAGTACAATAATCATACTCAACTTCTAAATCCTTGATTAAAGTCCAATTATAATTTTAGGCATTTGACTTTTTTTTCTGCTGAACTGGGTATATTTACAAAACAAAGATACATATGTGGATTGGATAGAGTTTAATGAACTAATGAATTGTGCAAATTCCTTGAAGGTGAGATAGTTTAATAATCTCATTTCATAAGTTAAAAATGTAAAGGTAAAAGGAGAACGTTAAAGTGCTGATTTAATGAAATTTTCTGCTTAATGCGTAACCATGACTAACCACAGCATGGGGGAGCCTTCTGTTAATGAGGCAAACTTTCCTTGATGCAAGTGAGCAACTAATAATGTCTACCTCTAGGGCAGATGAATCTGTTATTTCAGTCCTGGTGAACAACGAAGAAAAGGGTTAGAACAAGAAATGTAATATAATTGCCTCTTAAAGGAAAATCCATTTTCCTTAGAGATAGAATTTCTTCTCTGACTGCATAGCAATGCTTTAGTTTTAGTTTTAGTTTTACTTTATTGCAGCATTAAGCCAGGTGTTCCATAAAGTAAAACCAGTTTCTTCTTTTCTTTAAGTTATATTCATTAAATTAACAAGCCAAGTGAGTCCTCCACTGCATCTCATTCTGAAAATTAATTATTTCAATTTACGATAGAGCATCCCCACTACCTGGAGTTCCCTTTTCATAAGTTATCTACTATTAATGCAGCAAAGATATAAAATCAAAATCTATTTTCACTGAATTTCAAAAAACGAAACAAAATACAACTCAAATGGATCTAATATGGCAGGGGTATTGAGGAAAAAAATCTAAAACATAAGGCAGGAAAAATGAATGGGCCTTCAAGTAGAAAGAGGTGGGTGGGCTTAAACTCTATGTTCTTGTATTTCATACGTGAATTATGCTAGTCAAATTGTTCAGACTAAATGAGCTTGACTTCCCATTTATGTAACTGAGGGAATAACACATGTACCTTAGAGTGTAGATTTAAAGATGAATAGGTTATGTCTCTAAAGAGCTTCCTTTTTTCTTTCCCTTTTCAAGTTAAATTGCACTTTTACTTCATTTTATGTGTCTGGCAGTTCTCATATTGTGTCCATATGAAGAGAATGCAACCTCATATTTTGAATAATAATTGTTCTTCCCACTCATTTTTTTGAGCCTTGAAAAAGACTATACTGTTGCTGTACAAAGTGTGTATAAGCACAAGAGAAAATTTTCAAGCTACTTTGAATTGCTATGGCTATTTTTGGTAACGAGCTAAAAGGATAAGGGAGCCTGAGATTCAGTTAATTCCTGGCACTAGCACTCTCTCATTATAATTATTAGTCCTAAAGATGTTCTAGCTGTCAAATTGTGATGAGAGTAATAAAAATTGGATAGCCTCTGAGCTCTACTTGGTTCTGTTTCCACTAAGTAGAACCAGATGATGGCCTTTACTGAGACCTGATTCCTATACAAGATAGTACCATATTGGTTACATTTCGTTATTTTCTAATAGTAAAATTTTAATTAAAAATAAATGAAACATTAATAGAGATAGGCAGTTTCAGCTGCTACAATTAAAGCCCTATGTAATTCAAATTATTTAGTATGATAATTTTAAAAAGAACTGTAAATAGTGTGAATGTTAACAGACCAAAAGGAAATTGGAAGACATAAGAATGACAGTACATTATAGTTATTTCTTGGTTGAATCTTGGTTATCTCCAATTTACATCCCAAACCTGGTAGACCATATATGCTGTCCTCTTGAGTAAGTCCTTATCCTCCAAAGTGACAAGCATATATACCTTGGAACACCAGTCAACAGAAGCCATGACAAGCATTAGTTCAAATTTCTAGAATGACATTTCAGTCATGATTGCCTCGAATTCTAGAATGTAGGAGCCCTGGTACTATTTTTCCTTCAGGAAAGGAAACTTTTATGCATACTTGTTCCATATGGTTGTGGGAAAAAAAAAAAAAAACAACTGGGGATAGCAATTATTTCCAGCTAATGGCTTGAAAACAAGATAAAACAATTTGTTAAGATCCAAATCCATTGTTTGCCTGTAAGCAAAATCACCATTGTATAGAATTTCTTTGTATATCTCTACAGAATTCTATGAAGAGTATATATGTATTTTATAGTTATTCTTCTTACTTGCCTACTTAATTATCTCCAGGACTCTAGACTATTGACTGACTCTGTATGTTTGCTTTGCCCACCAAAAACTGTAGGCAAGGCGGCCTCTGCTATACCACTTTAAAACTTTGGTCTCTTCTGTATTTCCCCCAAATGATTGCAAATAAAGGCTTAGACTTTTGAAATAATTGATATCAGGTCTTTGACAAATTGAAGAGAGTTAAAACATTGAATTTTTTTTAACTTTTATTTAATGAATATAAATTTCCAAAGTACGACTTATGGATTACAATGGCTTCCCCCCCATACCGTCTCTCCCACCCACAACCCTCCCATTTCCCACTCCCTCTCTCCTTCCATTCACATCAAGATTCATTTTTGATTATCTTAATATACAGAAGATCAGCTTAGTATACATTAAGTAAGGATTTCAAAAGTTTGCTCCCACACAGAAACATAAAGTGAAAAATAATAGATGATTTTTTTAAATGATTATGAAATCAGATCAGACCTATTGTCATGTTTAATCCCAGCAAGAGTCAAGTTGGGAATTGCTAATTTCTTTTGTTTTTTTTTTTTTTTTTTTTAACAGAAGATCAGTTTAGTGTACATTAAGTAAAGATTTCAACAGTTTGCACCCCCATAGAAACACAAAGTGAAATATACTGTTTGAGTATCACTCTCCCCTTTATTTATTCTATCGGTTAGTGTTATCAGGTACTAGACTTGTTTATGTTCTCCCTTTGACTCTTAGACCTTTCATTATGATCAATTGTGAACTGAAATTGATCACTTGGAATAGTGAGATGGCATTGGTACATGCCACCTTGATGGGATTGAATTGGAATCCCCTGGTATGTTTCTAACTCTACCATTTGGGGCAAGTCAACGTGAGCATGTCCCAAATTATACATCTCTTCCCTCTCTTATTCCCACTCTTATGTTTAACAGGGATCACATTTCAGTTAATTTTCTTTTTTTTCTTTTTTCTTTTTTTTTTTTTTTTTTTGACAGGCAGAGTGGACAGTGAGAGAGAGAGACAGAGAGAAAGGTCTTCCTTTTGCCGTTGGTTCACCCTCCAATGGCCGCCGCGGCTGGCGCGCTGTGGCCGGCGCACTGCGCTGATCCGATGGCAGGAGCCAGGAGCCAGGTGCTTTTCCTGGTCTCCCATGGGGTGCAGGGCCCAAGCACCTGGGCCATCCTCCACTGCACTCCCTGGCCACAGCAGAGGGCTGGCCTGGAAGAGGGGCAACCGGGACAGAATCCGGCACCCCGACTGGGACTAGAACCCGGTGTGCCAGTGCCACTAGGCGGAGGATTAGCCTAGTGAGCCGCGGCGCCGGCCTCAGTTAATTTTCAACACTTAAGAATAACTGTGTGATAATTACAGAATTAAACCAGTCATATTAAGTAGAACAGACAAAAAAAAAATACTAAGAGGGATAATGTATTAAGTTGTTTATTAACAGTCAGGGCTATGCTGATCAAGTCACCATTTCTCATAGTGTCCATTTCACTTCAGGAGCTTTCCTTTTTGGTGTTCAGTCAGTTGTCACCGATCAGAGAGAACATATGGTATTTGTCCCTTTGGGACTGGCTTACTTCACTCAGCATGATGTGTTCCAGATTCCTCCATTTTGTTGCAAATGACTGGATTTCGTTGTTTCTTACTGCGGTATAGTATTCTAAAGAATACATATCCCATAATTTCTTTATCCAGTCTACCGTTGATGGGCATT